CATAACGGTCACAGGGCGATGGTTTTATTTTCGAAAGCTCGATGGGTCTTTGCATCGCTTTCTTGGTTCCTTGACGACCAAGCACAGTTTCTGAGTTCTGACCTCGAGATGTTTCAGATCATAGCTCTATTATCGTCCGGTTTGGTCCCCGCCGTGGCAAGGTACCATCCCTTTTAAATTTCTAATTTTGGGCTGATCATGCAAATTTTAGGGAATTGTTCAGGCAGTTTGGGACGAGCCTCTTGTAGGCAATCCTATGTTCCGTCTTACGCAGAAATTGGGGCTAGTGAAACGGAAGCTAAAAGCTTTACATATTCGGGCTTCCAGTCATATCTCATTAGCAGGGTAATGAGGCTCGGGCTCGGTGGGCAGCAGCCAGGGAAATTGGATCGGGACCCCTTTTCTACTGAGTGTATCTCTGAGGAGAGGAACCTTGCCAACCAGTATTTCAGTCTTTGTCAGATGAGGAGGCTTTCTTTAAGCAGCGGTCTCGTGTCAGTGTTTGCACTTAGGGGATCAGAATACTAGTTCTTTCATAAGTCGTTGACCCATAGGCAGTGTCGGAACCGCATCCACGGTTTGACTGATGGCATGGTACACATATTAGTGACAGTCAGGATTAGGCATTGGCGGTGGGTTTTTTTCAGGATCTTCTTACTGCCCCAGTCGCCCTCAGATTGCCGAGGCTTCCAGGTATTTTTCTGGCCGCATTTCTCCTGATATGATTTCTCCATTGACTGCTCCTATCACTGATGATGAGATTAGGATTGCTTTATTCTCTATCCCGATGATAATCCCCCGGCCCGATGGATTCACATCTTTGTTTTTTAAGCGGGCATGGGATATTATTGGTACAGATTTCAGGGATGCAGTGAGACATTTTTTTGCTACTAATGAAATGCCAAGATCTGTTAATGCCACCAGGATTGCTTTGGTTCCTAAGGTGGAGAGCCCAAGTCGTATGACAGACTTTATGCCGATATCTTGTTGTAATGTACTTTACAAGTGCATTACTAAGGTGATTGTGAATCGGTTTAAAGTTTGCTTCCGGATATTATTGGGGTTTCCCAGTCAGCTTTTGTCCGGGTCGAAGGATTCTGATAATATTCTGCTGACTCAGGAGCTTTTGCGGAATTATCATCTTGGGGGTACTTCACCTCGATGTGCCCTTAAAGTTGTATTCGGAAAGCTTTTGATACTATGAGTTGGGAGTTCATCCTTTTGGGATTGCATACTGTGGGGTTTCCTGAGCGTATGGTGAGGTGGATCATGACATGTATCTCCACCCCGTATTTCTCTGTTGCCCTGAACGGAGAGCTTCACGGATTTTTTAGGTCCTCATGGGTGTGCGGCAGGGGGACCCTCTTTCTCCTACCTTTTTTGTGTGGCTATGGAGGGGTAGCTGGTATTTTTCGGGAAACCTCTCACAGCCCTGGTTTTCAGTTATCATGGAGATGTAGGCAGGCAGCTATTCTCATTGTGTTTTATGATTTTGATGGTGTTTTGTAGAGCAGATGCTTCCTCGTTAGCTTGATCAAATCGGCCTTGGATATTTTGCTCAGGTTTCTGGATTAGTGACTAATGCAGAGAAGAGCCAGTTGTTTCTTTCTGGAGTTACAGATGAGGAGCAGATTGGGTTACAGTCTATCATGGGTTTCCAGTTGGGCCAGTTACCGGTAAGATATCTAGGGGTTCCTCTAATCTCTACCCACCTTCGACACTCTATTGTAGCTCTGTTGGAGCGAATTCTCTCTCGGATTAAGCTATGGACGTCGACATCTTTGACCTATCAGGCCGACTACAGTTGATAAGTCAGTATTTTTCTCCACAGGTTTATTGGTCCTCCATGTTTCTTTTGCCGGTAGCTACAGTTAGACGATGAGAGTATTTTGGCCTCATTTCTTTGGAAGGGTACTTCTCTGTCCCATTCTGGTGCTAAGGTTGCATGGTCTTCTGTTTGCTATCCATTGACGGAGGGTGGCCTGGGGATTAAAAGGTCCAAGATTGGAATAGGGCGCTATTCTCAAACATGTTTGGAGGCTACTTACTGATAATCTTCTATATGGTCTTCTTGGGCCCATTCGGTTCTCCTCCGTGGTCGGTCCTTTTGGCATATCTGAGTTACTTCTGGGGCTTCATGGGCTTGGAGGAAGATTTTACTTAGTAGGGTTTGGTGCCGGGGTCTATTGTGACTTGTGTTGAGATGGGTAGGGACCATGTTATGGCGAGATCACTGGCTTCCGCAGGGTCCTCTGTGTGACTTGCTTCCTTTTAGAACCTTGACTTCCACTGGGTTGCCGTGGGATGCTTGGTTTCAGACATTATTCGGATGTTTGTGGGACTTTCCTTCGGGCAGTTCAGACCTTCAGCATGTCTGGGACTCTATTACTGTGCACCTTCAGCGAGTCATCCTGACCATATGTGTGGAAGGGCCATCCATCTAGACGGTTCTCTATTGATTCAGCCTGGAATGTGTTGCGAGACAAACAAGATGTGAACTCGATTCATCATCTCCTGTGTTTCCCGGCATATTCCACGTCACTCTTTCATTCTCTGGCTCGCTTCTCTTAGTCGGCTTCACACCATGGATCGGCTCAGCTCTCATGGTGTCATTACGTCCTCCCGATGTGTTTTGTGCAGATCAGCTACAGAGACCCATGACCATTTGTTTTTTAGATGTGACTTTTCCAGTATGTTTGGCAGGAGGTCACTACCAGGACGCTTTCTACATGGCCTACTCTCTCCTGGCTCTCTTGCTTCAGTGGGCTAGTGTTGCATCATTCGACGAAAAGGTGATTTCAGCCACCTTCTTTCCCAGTTAGTCCTTTCAGCCACAGTTTATTTCCTTTGGTTTGAACGGAATAATTGCGTGTTTCGTCAGCATTGTAGCTCCTGCAGAGATATTGTCTTAGCTATTTGTGATCTAGTTCGGCTCAAGATTTTGGGTCTAGCACCTATTTACGAGATCTCGCCTCAGCTCCGTGTGATATGGCATCTTCCTGACTAGCTTTGTAAGGGACCTGCATGCTCTTTTGTGTCGGTTTGTGACTTTGTGTTTGTGGTGAGCCTGCGTGCTCTTTTTTGCCGGTTTGTGGCTTTGTGTTTGTGGTGAGCCTGCGTGCTCTTTATGCTGGTTTGTGGCTTTTTTATGGCATCTTATTGCTTTGTGGGGAGCCTGCGTGCTCTCTTTTGCTGTTCATGACTTTGTGGGTTTTCCCACGTGTTCTTGACTGATAGTTATCAGTCATCCTCTTGGGGTATGCCCCTCGTATTTGTATATTTTTGTCTTTTATACATACTTACCTTATCCAAAAAAAAATCTTGGAAAGCATGTAATAGCCTGTAGTTTTGATATCTACTTCTTAAAGTTTATTAGTGGAGAATAAATTTGTACTTATGAGTAGTCGTTTAGAATGAGGATATTGCTAAATTCAAAATTCTATTCCTGTAAAGTCAGCATATGAATAAATCATTCTTCTAACAGAGACGCTTTTTGGTGTGAATTAGTAAATAAGAGCTTGATGGAGAATCTGTGTGAAGTAAATTAATGGAAGATATTCAGACTTGAGCTCCTACTACAAAAGCTTTGTAGAGGAAATCAATAGATCAAAGCTTGAGTAGAATATTGTCATGCCTAAAAAATCAGGGCTAACAAAAGTTGATGTCAATGAACACCAATCAGAGTTCAGAAAGGCTTTGGGCCGTCCAGAGTCTACCATGTCACCCAAGACAGAAAGAATATAACTGTTAACAACCCAGCTGACTCAAGTTTTGTCTGTGAATGAATTTGGTTTGCACACCTGTCCAAGCCCCATTTAATTTAAGAATATTTCCTAAGTTTTTAGCCAATGGGATGCCAAGAGAGATTTGCACAGCACCAACCCACTTGCAGATATGTAATCCTTACCTTGAGCTTAGCGAATATAAATAGGCAGCTCCCTCTCACAAAATCGGGATCAGACATTTTGAATTCAACAAAGAAAATAGCAAAGACACATTGTGGGAAAGAGACTAGCTTGATATTCTCTAAAAACACTTAGAACACCAAGCACCTGTAACCACCCATATTGCAGTTCTCGACCTCTTGTAATCTTAGCTAATAACCAAGTACCCACTACTATATAAGAAAATAGTGGATGCAGGATTCTCTGAAAGCATCCGAACCACTATAAAACATTTACTGTCTCATTTACTTTTAAGTCTTTGCATGCTACTGTGATATCAGTACTCCATAATCAACTCTCATAATTGTTCACTTGTAATTTGTAAGACTTTCTTAGCACTTTGCACGTGCAACTTCGTTGGTGTCAAAATCAAGCATCAAAAAATATATTTAAAGCAAATGAATAGATTCTATTCATACTTGAGCTCTAAGCAAATAAGCTTTCTAGAGCAAATAAGTAGATCAAAGTCAAATGTAGAATCTAGCTATTTGAAGCAAATTAGTGGTTGTTCATACTGTAACTCTTGACATAAAAACTTTTTGGAGCTGTCAATATATCAAAGCCTAGTGTAATATGTCTAAAACAAATCAATATATTTTGTTCAGACCTGATCTCTTGACACATTTTTAGAGCAAATTAGTATATTAGAGTCAAATGTAGATCTGTCGAAAATAATGTAGAAAAAGAACAATTGGGAAAATTTCAATGTATTGTATTATTAAAAGTTATGAAGCAATTGCTTCGTATACACATATATATACAGAGAGAAAGTGAGAAAACTATAATTAGTTACAATAACTAATGAACTTACTCTAAAGCAACTGTACATGTGACTAACTGATTTTGGTTTTCAATATTTTCTAATACCCTCCCACAAGCTGGAGAATGAATGTTAATCATGCCCATCTTGGACACAATTTCGTGAAATGGAACGACACCAAGTGGTTTGGTATATATGTTAGCTAATTGGGTAGAAGAAGAACATGGCATAAGATGAATGAGACCATTATGAACCTTTTCACAAACAATATGACAATCGATTTCGATGTGTTTTGTTCACTCATGAAAATTTGGGTTTGCTACGATCTGCAAAGCAGACATGTTGTCACAGAAAAGTAAAGCAGGATGAGGATGAGGCATATGGAGATCATGAAGTAAGTAGTTGAGCCATTGTAATTCACAAGTTGTAGAAGCAAGAGCGCTATACTTAACTTCAAAAGAGGAACGAGAGACGGTAGTTTGCTTCTTGGCTTGCCAACTAATTAAGGAACAGCCAAGAAAAATGCAGAAATTGGTGATTGATCGTCGAGTGTCCACACAGCTTGCCCAATCAAAATCGTTAAAAGCTTTGAGAAGCAAAGATGAATCAACAAGAAAGTAAAGGCTAGAGGCAGGATATCCTTTAATGTATCTGAGAACACGATGACCAGCTTGGAGATGAGATGAAGTTGGTTTATCCAAAAATTGACTTAATTGCTGTATTGCAAATGACAAATTTGGACGACCTGCAATCGACCAATAAGGATAGCTACCTGGCAGAGGATCCCCATGATCTTTACTAAGCTTTAAGGAAGAATCCATAGTAGTTTTTGTAGGCTTCGAGCCTAAGAAACCTGAGTTAGACAATATTTCAAGAGCATACTTTAGTTGATACAATGCAATACCTTTGTGAGTTCGGGCCACCTCCAAACCCAAAAAAAAACTTTAAATCCCCCAGGTCTTCAATCTTGAAAGCATCATCTAGATAAGTCTTAACATAATCAATTTTCACCAAATTAGTTCCAGCAAGGATCAAATCATAGACATAAACGAGTATAAAAGCAATAGAGGTAGCTAAATGCTTGACAAATTAGAAGTAATCAAAATAGGATTGATTGTAGCTCAAAGAAATGAGTGCATAAGCTAATTTCGAAAACCATTGTCGACTAGCTTGTTTAAGTCCATAAATGGACTTTTGAAACTTACAAACTTGTTAAGGATGAGAAAAATTAAAACCAAGAGGCAAAACCATATAGACTTCTTCTGTGAGATCACCATGCAAAAATGCATTATTAACATCCAGTTGTTTAAGATGCCATTAATTAGCGATAGCCAATGCTAAAAGTAATCTGACAATGGTGAGCTTGGCAACAAGAGAAAATGTATCAAAATAATCAACACCATCAGTTTGAGTGTACCCTTTAGCAACTAAACGTGCTCTATATCTTTTTATAGAGCAATCAACCTTGTATTTGATTTTATAAACCCATTTGCAACCTATCGTAGATTTACGAACAGGGAGATCAGTGAGGACCCAAGTGTTATTCTGCTCAAGAGCAGTAATTTTAGCTTGCATTGCCTCTTTCCAGCATTGATGTTTAATAGCTTGGGTATAAGTTTTGGGTTCAGATGTAGCAGAAATTGTTAAAGTAAAATGCTTATAGGAAGGAGATAAATTGGAGTAAGAAATGATAGAAGATATGGTGTACCTGAGTGGATATGACTAAGATCAACGGAAGTAGCAAGATAGCAATGATAGTCTTGTAGATTGGTAGGAGTCATACAAGGTCTCTATGAATGACGAGGAGCAAGTTGATCAAATGTAGGAGCAGGGGATGGTAATGGAGAAGTTTGAGCAACTGGTGAAATATTACAATCAGGTAAAAAAAAAGCCTTGAGGTAAAGGGACTGAGGAAACATTTGCTGGTTTAGTAAATGGAAAGATTGTTTCATGAAATGAGACATTGCGAGATACAAAAATTTCTTTTGAAACAATGTCTAAAAGAATAAAGCCCTTAGTACCGGATTTATAGCCAAGAAAAACACTTTTTCTAGCTCGAGAATCAAACTTTGATCTATTTGCAGATAATGTAGAAGTAAAGCAAAGAGAACCAAACACTGTTAGATTGGTAAAATCTAGGGGTTGGTTATGTAGAAGTTCAAAAGGTGATTTATGCTATAAAAATGGAGAAGGAAGTTTGTTTATCAAATATATAGCATGGAGAATAGTGTAGCTCCAAAAAATTTTGGGTAAATTAAACCAAAATAGTAATGCCATTTTGCTGTGGAGTTTCAACACATGAAGTCTGATGAACGGTTCCCTTAGAAGCATAAAAAACTGGCATGGCAAATTCACAACCATTGTCACTTCTAAGAATCTTAATTTTGGCAGAAAATTGAGTCTCAACTAGAACAAAAAAAGATTGAAGTAAAGTTCTTGTATCAGATTTATTTTGCATTAAGAAAACCCATGTGTTTCGAGTATATTCATCAACAATGGTCAAGAAATACCTATGACCATGTATAGAAGGGGTAGAAAAGGGGCCCCAAATATCAACATGTATCATGTTCAAACATTTATTTGATCTAGTATTACTTACAGAAAATGGTAGCTTCTTTTGCTTAGCAAAATGACAAATATTACAACTAGAATTATCATGAAATCTAAGACTCAGTACGTATGGGGCTAGAAGTTTGATTCTTGAATCAGAAACATGGCCAAGTCTATAATGTCAGATATCAATAGTAGTATTTGTGGAGGATTGAGAAACATGAGATGGAAAAGAAGAACTGGTGGAAAACCTATGCATTGCATATAAACCGTCCTACACTTCAGTTGAACCAATTGTCTTCCATGAGATCCGATCTTGTATAAAACAACAAGCATTTTCGAAAACCAAACAACAATGAAGTAGAGAAGTAAGTTTTGTGACAGAAATCATATTAAATGAAAATTCAGGTATATAGAGGACATCGGTTAGAATTAGGCTATTAGTGAAAAATACAGTGCTAGAATAATGTGTGGTGATTTGATGACCATTTGGTAGAGTTACTGAAATAGGTTTGATTTGCTTGTATGTTGTAAATGGAGACAAAGAGTGAGTGATATGATCTGTGGCACCTGTGTCAACAATCCATAATTCGGATTTAAAAAAACAAGAGAATTAAAAATGATTGCCTGGTAGGGATGAAAAATTAGAAGTAAGGGTGTGATGTTGAGTGGTGGCTTGATTGGTAAGATGGGGTGACAATGGAGGTCTCTCAATGTTAGATGACTGAAGTAAGGCTAACACTTGTTGATACTGTTCTTGGGTCAAAGAAATGCTAGCGGGCTCAAGATTCCTTTTTGGAAGATCAAGATAGGGACTGGAGTTCTCAAATGACTTATTTTCTACTACAGAAACCACATTATGTGCATCTGAATTATAATTTCTAGGTTGAGAACCAGATGGATAGCCATGCTTTTTATAGCATGTTTCAATGGTATGACATGGTTTACCACAAAAGGTACAAAATCGTTTATCTCTATTAGCATGGTTAGCAAATGACTATGAACCAGCAATTTTTTTGTTGGGTAATTCATTTTGAATGGTCTTATTAACAAATACCTTGGAAACTCCCAAGCTCATCTGTCTTTCTTGTTGTATCACCAAAGAAAAGACTTTGTTGATTGAAGGTAGAGGCTCCATAAGCATAATCTGCGATCTCACAGTGGCAAACTAATCACCAAGACCTTTAAGGAACCTAATGACATAATCGTTGTTCTGTTTTGACAGTAGCAAATGCACCACAAGAACAAGGAGTTACACAAGAACAGGAAGGAATGGGTCTAATATTCAACAATTCGTCCCAAAGAATTTTCAGTTTAGTGAAATAATCTGTGACAGTTCGATCTCCTTGCTTAAACGCATAAATTTCTTCTTGGAGATCAGAGATTCTAAAGATGTCTCCTTGATAGAACCTCTCTCGAAGATCATTCCACACATTAAAAGCTTTATCTATCCACAAAATACTGAGTAATAGAAGGGGAAAGAGAATGAGTCAACCAGGACAATACCATGGTGTTACAATGCACCCAAGCAAGATATAAAGGATCAGTGCTTGAAGGTGCTTGTAGAGAACCATCAACGAACTTCAATTTATTCTTGGAAAGCAGAGCCATCTTCATTGCTCATGCCCAAGAATGGTAAGTGGTGCTTGTAAGCACTGGAGATACTAGAACAAGAGCTGGATTTTCATTAGGATGAAGAAAATAAGGACTAGATGGATTTTGTGTAGGATCGATTGAAGTTGCAGAAGTTGCCATTGATGAAATTTAGCTAGGTTTAGGAGAAAAAAAAAAAAAAAACTTAGCTTTGATACCATGTAGAAAAAGAACAGTTGGGAAAATTTTGATGTATTGTATCATTGAAAGTTATGAAGCAATTGCTTCGTATACACATATATATATAGAGAGAAACTGAGAAAAGTATAATTAGTTACAACTAACACACTTACTCTAAAGCTATACTCGTGACTAAGTGATTTTGGTATTTTCAATAATTTCTAATAAATAAATTAATGAATGTTGTTCAGACTTGAGATCCTAACAAAAATGCTTTGTAGAGCAAATTAGTAGGTCAAAGCTTGATCAAGAATTAAGGGAAATAATTGTTGGTAAAAAGGGATGAGAATGCAAAAGAGTTGAGTAGTAGGAGTAAACTAAACTTTGGCAAAAGTGATGTTAGTTTGTTTGTTATCTCAATTGTATAAAAGAGAAAGTTATTCCCTCTTTTCAATTAGCTCAGTTAACTATGAAGAAGTAAAATTCGAGTTCTCTTGCATTTTCTTTGTGTTCTCTAAATTCTTGCCATTGTTTCACATGGTATCAGAGCATTGACTCACGTCGATGGTTACAGATCCTAGCTCCTCTCAATTTCTAAATAACAGTAACAGAACGGCAAAAGATTCCCAGACTCGTACAACTTCAATTCTAGCTTCCAACTTACAAGTCATTAACCCTAAGTTGACGAGGAACAATGACAGATTTTGGAGTTCACAAGTGTTGTTTACAATAGGCTCACACGAGCTAGAATACCATCTCCTAGGTAGGATTCCTTGTCCTTAACCAATTATTTTGTGTCAATCTGAAATTGAGACTGATTTAAGTAAAATCAAAGATGAAATAAAAGCTAGTAACGACACTATAAGTGAAAAGTTGAATCCAGCATATATAATTTGGAAAAGGACAGACAAATCCTTAGTGAGCTGGTTATTAGCTTCAATTTCTAAAGAAATGTTTAGCGATGTGTCCAAATGCTGATTTTCCACTGAAATTTGGTTAGCTCTAGAAAATGAATTTTTAATAGACTCTAAAGTTAGGGCTCTTCATCATAAGAATCTTCTTCAAACCACTCATAAAGGAAACATGAATATTGGTGACTATGTCAAAAAGATTGCAGAAAGTTTGTCTGACAATAGGATAGTTATATCGGATGGAGATTTGCTACAATATGTGCTTGATGGTTTAGGACCTAAGTACGATCTTGTAGTGGTTACACTCAGTTTTGGATTAGAATCCAAAATTGACAATGTCACAATACAAGAGGCTCAGTTCTTGTTGCAAAAATATGAAATAAGGCTTGACAAGTTTATTTCAGTCGACTTGCATAATAGCTCAGTTAATCTTGTGCTGTTAGTAATTCTAGAGGTTTTAACAATCTTGGTATGTCTAGCCAATCTAGTCAGAGCAATGACAAAAACGATGAACATATCAATAATGTTGTACCTTCACTAATCTCACTTGGCAACCCTCACTATCCATAAACATACACAGCTCCTTC